GCAAGGTGTGATGATGGGCTGTTGTAATCCCAGCTACTTGAAAGGCTGACACAGGAGAATGGCTTGAACCCTGGAGACAGAGGTCACAGTGAGCTGAGAGAGCACACCACCGTTCTCCAGCCTGCGCAATAGAGCAAGACTCCGTCTCAAAAAAAAAAAGAAAAAGAAAGAAATGACTTTGCAGGGTCATTTCAAAATTTGCCAAATAAATGTATTTTGGGATAAAATAATTGTCAACTGCCATATACCAGTGTTCTATAGTGGATCAGCATCTTTATGAATGAGTATACTTTTTTATATTTTCTAGATACATAGACTTCTTCAGTGGTGCAATTTTCAGTGCAGCAAAAGAATAAAAATAATAATGGTAACAATAAAAATGAATATAGAAACACTCTTGTAATCCCAGCACTTTGGGAGGGAAAGGTGGGGAGATCACTGAGGTCAGGAGTTTGAGACCAGCCTGACCAACATGGTGAAACCCTGTTAATAGTAAATATGTAAAAATTAGCCGGGCATGATGGCACATACCTGTAACCCCAGCTACTGGGGAGGCTGAGGCATGAGAATTGCTTGAGCTGGGGAAGTTGAGGCTGCAGTGAGCTGAGATTATGCCACTGTACTCCAGCCTGGGTGACAGAGCAAGACTATGCCCCCCTCCAAAAAAAGCAAAGTATGGTGGCTCACACCTGTAATTCTAGAACTTTGGGCGGCCGAGGCAGGTGGATTACCTGAGGTCAGGAGTTCAAGACCAGCCTTGCCAATATGTTGAAACCCTGTCCGTACTGAAAATACAAAAATTAGCTGGATGTGGTGGTGCCTGCCTGCTGTTGCTGCTACTCCGGGGCTGAGGTAAGAGAATTGCTTGAACCTCGGAGGTGGAGGTTGCAGTGAGCTGAAATCATGCCACTGCACTCCAGCCCGGGTGACAGAGTCTGACTCCATCTCAAACAAATGAATAAAACCAGAAATTTATTAATTTACATAAGAGTTGGTTTTTATTTTTGCCTTATTTTAAAATTCAAATTATTTTTCTAGCAGATGGAACAAGTGAATGTCATTTGCTAAGAAATAACACTTTTTTTTTCGAGACAAAGTCTCTGTCACCCAGGCTGGAGTGCAGTGGCGTGATCTCAGCTCACTGAAATCTCCACCCCCCAGGTTCAAGCGATTCCCCTGCCTCAGCCTCCCCAATAGCTGGGATTACAGGCACCCGCTACCATGCCCCACTAAAGTTTTGTATTTTTAGTAGAGACGGGGTTTCACCATGCTGGCCAGGCTAGTTTTCAACTCCTGACCTCAAGTGATCTACACATCTCAGCCTCTCAAAGCTCTGGGATTACAGGTATGAGCCACTGTGCCCAGCCAAGGACACCGTTTATCTGAGAAATGTGAGCCCCCATTAAATCAGCAGACCCAAAAAGGCACTGGAATGAGATGGAAGTTGCATTCCACTTCCACCTAGGGAATAGTACTCATCTCCCAAAGCTGCTTGCTCTGTGGGCTTTAGGCTGACCAATGCCCCCAGTAGCTATGAGTTAACCTATTATGCCACACACTGGACACCGTAACTCATACCCTGTGGTTCAACAATGGATAGAGAATTAATTATCAATGTTATTTCTGTCATCCAATGAGAATTCATAACAAGCTTTTGTAATCCCTTCCTCTCCTGATTCATCCATTTTTTTCTTTGAAAACTCAGGCCTGCCTTTTGTTCTTTGCAGCATTTCCCAAAGTCACTTGGAAGTGTTTCCTGGGCTGCAGTCCTCAACAGTAATCCAAATAAACTTTTTGCCTATAGTAATTTTGCCTTAGTTTATCTCTTTAGGTTGAAATGTCTTAATATGAGGACTAAAGCATTTTACCAGTATTTGTGGAGGAGAGACTTTCTATTTGCCTTGATAAGTAATTTTTGAAGGCTGCCAACTCAATTTTGAGTGAGGAAGGGACCTTGTGGAGATGCCGAGTGGCAGTCTGGGTGTTTCTAAAACCCATCGGAGTAGAGAAAATATCCAGCCCGTGTCCAGGGTTCCCGTCTTCGTTTCAGCTTCAAGAAGTTTGTTTGGTCAACTCAGGAGTTAAAAGCAAGGTGCACTTTGGATTGGGAGCCAGTTATCTTTTTGGACACAGGAGTCTCAGATCCTAGAGAAGATATTTCTGGATGGCAAGAGGTTTATATTCATGGGGACAGGAAAGCACATGAGTTTTCCAAAGCTCTAAGAAGGATCTCAGGGGCAACTCTGCCTACCATTAGAGGCCTAGGGCAATTAATGTTTAAGTTTTTATTTTCTTTCATTTTTCCATATGCTCTGGGCACACAGTGTGCCTTTGGAATGTTTTTTAAATAAATAATTCCCCAAAGCCTTTCGGATGTTTTCATTCCCCTCTGAGTACACAGTTGAAATAGCTATCAGCCCCAGATAACGGCCTCCACTGACCCAGCTTTGGCCATTTGTAAGGGGCCTGGGAGTTGTGCTGGCCATTCGTTATCTCAGCCAGGAGGGTTTCCCAGGAAGCTGCCTTGTCAGATAATTATAATCATGGGTGAAGAATACCCCACAGAAGTCAGCCAGGGTCTCTATGAGTAGGGTCATGGGTGGCCACGAAGTTTTCTGGCTCCTCTCTAAATTTGGAAGGATCTTCCAAAAGTGGGGATAAAAAGGTTTTATAGTTGAAAAGATCCATGGCTGTGCAGAGAAGAGGAGTTCTTTGGTAGTGAGGGTCCAGGATACATTCCCAGCAGGCGTTGCACAGGAGGCCTGGGCTGGGGTAGGTGGGGCCTGATGAGAGTCCTGGGAAGCAGGTGGAATTACAAGGGGCAGGAAAACAAGCCCTGCTGCACATTCCTGGGGCCTCTGCCAAAGCTTTCCCCTGGCCTTCAGCATTGACATAAGGAACTTGTACGCCTCATGCCTGGGGATCTTGTCACAATTCTTGAAAAAAGAGAACAGTTGAAATGGGCATTTGGGTGATGAAGGGATTTTCTGGGGAAGTTGGAGGAAGTTCAGGGATTAAAGAAATCTATTGAGGAGACAGAGCCCAATTCTGGGGTGGAGAATTCGAGGTCAGAGATCCCAAAACTCTTCTGTAGGCTCAGGAATAGTGTTGGCATAAAGCGGGATAGAGAGGGAGGCAGGAGAGGGGAATTTACATTGGATATGGACTTTAACTTTTGTTCTAAGTCTGATTTCTGCTTTTGAGTCTTATTAAGAGAGTCTCTTTAGCTAACCACACTGCTTTTTTGAATTCTTTCAATTTGAGTATCTTGTGATAGTTAATTTTATGTGAAACTTGACGGGATCACAGAATGCCCAGATGTTTGGCTAAAGATTATTTCTAAGTGGGTCTATAAGGTTGTTTCTGGGTGAAATTGGCATTTAAATGGGTCAGTAAAGAAGATTTTTCTCCCTAATGTGAGAGGGTGTCATCCAACGTGTTGAGGGCCTGAATAGAACAAAAGGTGGAGGATGGGGAATTCACTCTCTCTTCCTGACTGCTTGAGCTGGGACACTGGTCTTCTGCTTTCACACTGAGACTTAGACCATCAATTCTCCGAGCTCTCATCTTCAGACACCACCAGCTTTGGGGGGTCTCAAGCTTGCAGACAGTAAATGATGGGAATTCTCCCTAATTGCACAAGCCAATTCCTCTTAATAAGTCAGTCTGTCTCTCTGTCTCTCTCTCTCTCTCTCTCTCTCTCTCTCTCTCTCTCTCTCTCTCTCTCCCTCTCTCTCCCTCCCCCTAACCCCCAACTCCATCCTAATGGTTCTTTTTCTCTGGAGAACCCTGACTAATACAGATTCTGGTACCAAGAGTGGGGTCTATAGAAACAAATACATAAAATGTGAAAGTGGCTTTGGAATTTGGTAATGGGTAGAGACTGGAAGAGTTTGGAGGTGCATGCTAGAAAATCCTGTGTTGTTGTGAATGGACCATTAACGGTGACTCTGGTGAGGACTTGGGAAAAAAAAAAGAGGAGAGCTGCAGAGAAAGCTTTCATCTTATTTATTTATTTTTTGAGACGGAATCTCACTCTGTCACCTAGACTGGAGTACAGTGGCATGAGCTCAGCTCACTGCAACCTCCGCCTCCTGGGTTCAAGCAATTCTCCTGCCTCAGCCTCCAAAGTAGCTGGGACTACAGGCACATGCCACCATGCCTGGCTAATTTTTTGTATTTTTAGCCGAGATGGGGTTTCACCATGTTAGCCAGGCTGGTCTCGATGTCCTGACCTCATGATCCACCTGCCTCAGCCTCCCAAAGTGTTGGGATTACAGGTGTGAGCCACTGCACCTGACCTCTTTTTTTTTTTTTTTTTACTTTAAGTTCTGGATACATGTGCAGAATGTGCATGTTTATTACATAGGACACTATTGTTGGGAGTGTAAATTAGTTCAACCATTGTGGAAGACAGTGTGGCGATACCTCAAGGATCTAAAACTAGAAATACCATTTGACCCACCAATCCCATTATTGGGTATATACCCAAAGGATTATAAATTATTTTACTATAAAGACACATGGACAGGTATGTTTATTGCAGGACTAAAGTATTTGCAATAGGAAACAGTTGAAACCAGCCCAAATGCCTATCAATGATAGACTGGATAAAGAAAATGTGGCACATATACATCATCTTCTTAAAAAATACATAAATAGGCCAGGCTCAGTGGCTCACACCTGTAATCCCAGTAGTTTGGGAGGCTGAGGCCAGGAGGAACGCTTGAGTCCAGGAGCTCAAGACCAGCCTGGGCAAAATGGTGAACACCATGATATATTTTGGATATTTGTCCCCACCCAAATCTCATGTTGAAATGTCATCCCAGTGTTGGAGGTGGGCCTGATGGGAGGTGTTTGGATCATGGAGGCAGATCCTTCATGCTCCCTACGGTTTGGGCCATCCCCTGTGTGATGTGAGCTCTTGCACTGAGTTCACATGAGATCTAGTTATATAAAAATGTGTGGCAACCCCCCCAGTCTCTCTCTTGTTTTCACAGTGTGATGTGCCTGGTCCCCCTTTGCCTTCTGCCATGATTGTAAGCTTCCAGAAGCCTCCCTAAACGACAAGCAAATGCCAGCACCATGCTTCCTGTAAAGCCTGCAGAACTGTGAGTCAATTAAACTTTTTTTATACATTACCCACTCTGAGGTATTTATTTATAGCTAGCAAAAGTGGCCTAATACACCCTGCCTTTAAAAAAAAGTGAAAAGAAATAGCCTGCATAGTGACATGTGCCTGTGGTCCCAACTGCTTGGAGGCTGAGGCAGGAGGATCACTTGAGCCCAGGAGGTTGAGGCTGCAGTGAGCTATGACTGCACCACTCCAGCCTGGGTGACAGAATGAGACCTAGTATTGAGGGAAAAAAATACATGAATAATCATGTTACAGAATGTTGGTAGAAATATGGATGACAAAGGCCATTCTGATGAGGTCTCCTGTGGAAATGAACTTGTTAAGGGACAGTGGAGAAAAGGCAGTCCTTATTACAAAGTGGCAAATAACTTGGCAGAATTGTGCCTGTGTTCTAGTGTTTTGTGGAGGATAGGACTTGTAAGTGATAAAATTGGATATTTAGCTGAGGAGATTTCTAAGCAAAGTGTTGAAGGAGCAATTTGGTTTCTCCTGACTGCTGATAGTAAAATGCAAGAAATGACAAATGAATTGAAGATGGAATTGTTAAGAAACCAAAATTTAAAGATTTAGAAAGTTTTCAGCTTGCCTGTATCACAAAAAATGAGAAAGCATGTATAGAAGAGAAGGCTAAGGGTGTGGTGGACTGGCCATCTGGTAAAATTAGTGTGTGTGTGAACCACAGACCTAATCAGCAACCCCAGCAGAAACACTGCCAGTCTGACATAAAGGGATGGGGTTGGCACAGGATGAAGGAAGGCTATCTTTTTAGATCTTACAGGACTGGATCAGAGAGCTCTTAGGCTGCAAATATGCACTATTCTTCAGATCTCAAAGGTGATTCAGAGATCAGCAGAGCTGCCACTCCCACCACAACCCCATGCACAGGCTCCAAAGGCAAGGCTCCCTCCAGCTTGGATGGAAAGAGTGAGACCAGAGGCCAGCAAAGCCCTGTAGGTGGAACCATCAGCTTGGTTCCTATAAGTGGGTGCTGGCTACTTTGAGCCCCAGGGTGGGGCAGATGCCACCAGGCAGAGCCCCCCGAAGCCACTCCTGCCCAGCAGTCACAGGTGTGTACCCCATGACCAGCAGAGCTGCAGATGTGGGCCCACTGATCCAGTGGGTCCAGAGGGCAGAGCACAGAGCCAAAGAGAAACATTCTTGAACCCTAGGGTTAAATGGAATTTGCAGAGCCTACTTAGTCCTGAGCCTGGCAAGTGTGTTTGTTCTGTCCTTTTTCAGTGGTGATCTCTGATGCACATATGCTCCACCAGATCCTCAGTCAGGCCAGGAAGTATCTGAGCTTGAGTCCCTCTTTTATTTGCTGGAGCTGCAGGTACAGAGCAGCACGGTCTATCTTGCACCCAGCATTGTTCAATCCAAATGTCAGTTGGGACAGGAGGAATAACCCAGAGCCCTGGAAGAAACTGGGTCCCACTGATCAGTACAAGCTCTGCTTAGTGAATATGGATTCCAGCAAACTGAAAACAGAAGGCCCAAACTTCTAGAAGAAATGTTTCACCATAAAGCTATTAAGACTGGAAGACTTTCAGAAGCTATCTGCACAATTTCCCCCTTACCCAGGAAATACTGTTCTTCCAAATGCTTGAAATCACATTGATTATTGTGTTGAGGATTACACTGATTAAAAATATCTGAAAGTTGGGAGGAAATAAGATCTAATGGAATTTACCTTGCCTAGGTTTTGAACTTGCTTGGGTTCCCCCATTCATTCCTTCTTTCCTGTTTCTGCCTTCGGAATGGGAATGTCTATTATATTCCTGTCTCACTGTCAGAGGGGTTTGAACCAGAGTGACTCCATTTTGAATAAAGGCTGGGCAAAATGAGGTTGAGAACTGCTGGACATCATTCCCAGAAAGTTAGGCTTCTTTAATCACAGGAGGTTTATGATTAAGGGAAGAGGTTAATAATATTTACTGAACAGACCCAGGTCTAAACAGATCCATGACTTAAAAGACCCAGGAAATATCTTAAGAACAATTAGTTTAAAAATTGGTTTCTCAGATATAGGTGAAGGGGAGGAAGGCAGCAAATCACACTGCCATGTGTGTACCTATGCAACAATCTTGCATGTTCTTCACATGTACCCCAAAACCTAAAATGCAATTTTAAAAAATTGGTTTATCTTTAAGGATAATATAGATTCTCACGGAAGAGAGTAGTTAGACAAAGATTAGCCATCCTCTTTCACAGCCCTTCTAGTAACTACAGCACATCTGCTTCATGGCTTTTCACTTTGTTATACATAAACAGGCACTGTCACTAAGATGGGCGCATTCCTACTCTTGCTTTTGGGAACACCCTGCTCTGTCTATGGAGTAACCATTCTTTTATTCCTTTAATTTCTTAATAAACTACTGTCACTTTATTCTGTGAACTCATCCAAATTCTTTCTTGCATGAGGTCCAAGAACTCTCTCTTGGAGTCTGGATCAGGACCCCAGGAGCCTTTTCTGATAATAATTCTATTGTATTTTGGAAGTATATAACTTGCTTGGTTTCACAAGATCACAGCTGGAGAATTTTTCCTGGGAATGACTCATACCTTGAGTCTCACCCATAGGTGATTTAGATATTTATCTTTTATTTTCATTTTTTGGAGACAGGGTCTCACTCTGTTGCTCAGGCTGGAGTGCAGTGGCACAATCTTTGCTTACTGTAGCCTTCACCTCCTGGCTCAAGTGATCTGCTCACCTCACCTGGGACTACAGGCCTTATTAAAAACGAGTAGTTTAGATAGTTCCTCTTTAAAGAGTTTCACTTTGTTACAAACAAGGTGTTCTTCCCCAAGAGGTGTTTACTTCCTTGTACTGTCTGTCTTGAAGTCTTATTAACCTGTTCTTTGCCTAAAGTAATCTTGCCTGCCAATCTATCAGCCCCTCCTGCCCTGCTGTGCTCAGGCATGCCCTCCAAGAAATCACTCCCTCCTTCCTTTAACTGCTTTCCCAGCAGAGACACTGATCTTCCTGCCTTCCCACTGTTGTAACCACATTCCTGCACTTTTGAAGTTAGCCAACCAGGTTCAGCTTAGATTGTGCAGTCCAACTCCAGCCAATGGAGGCAGGACACAGTAATGGGACAAGCTGCATTAGAAATAATAAAAACCCCTGCTTTCCTTTGTTCTGGGTGCTTTCCACATTGCTCCATATGCGAGACACACCCTCCTGCAGGAGTAAATTTGCCTTGCTGAGAAAATTTGTGTTTGAGTGCTATTTCTTTTGTGGCACTGAAAATTTATTTCTAACAGGCCTGCACCACTACTTCTGGCTAATTTTTTTAAATGTTTGTAGAGATGGAGTTTTGCCATGTTGTCCAGGCTCATCTGGAACTCCTGAGATTAAATGATTCTCCCATCTCTGCCTCCCTAAGTGCTGAGATTACAGGTGTGAGCCACCATACCCAGCCTAGATGATATTTAGATGAGACTTTGGACTTTAGATTTTAGAGTTGATGCTGGAATGAGTTAAGACTTTTGGGGTTATAGGACTCCCTCCTCCCCCACATCTATATCTCTCTCCATGCATGCACCGAGGGAAGGCCAGATGAGGACAGGGCCAGGAAGAGTGCCCTCACCAAGAACCTGCCCATGCCAGGCCCCTGCAGCTTTCCAGAACGGTGATAAATCAATGTTTGTGGTTTATGTCATCACCTATGGTAATTTGTTTGTTTATTTATTTATTTTTGAAACAGACTCTCACTCTGTTGCCCAGGTGTAGTGCAGTGATGCAATCTCGGCTTACTGTGACCTCTGCCACCTGGGTTCAAGCAATTCTCTGCCTCAGCCTCCCAAGTAGCTGGGATTACAAGTACCTGCCACCACACCCACCTAAATTTTTTATGTTTTTAGTAGAGACAGGGTTTTACCATCTTGGCTGGGCTGGTCTTGAACTCCTGACCTTGTGATCCACCAGCCTGGGCTTCCCAAAGTGCTGAGACTACAGGCATGAGCCACTTCACCCAGCCTGACCCATGGTAATTTGTTAGATCAGCCCAAAGTGACTAAGACACTTCTCCTAGGTCCCAATAGTTATTTGTTTAGGATGAAAGTTCTCTAAAAATCCTTTCAAATGCAAAAGCTTTTCCAAACCAAAGGATCTTTCCAGAGGTACACCTTTTGTAAATATGTAATGTGACTTAAATTACATTTGTAATGTAATTTAATTACATAATGCAACTTAAATTACATAATGCAACTTAACCTCAGGATGTAATGTAAATGTAAATGTGACTTAAAACCAATAAACCTGTTTATGGCTGAACCATGGAAACCCCAGGTGTCCCCATAAAAGGTGCAGAAGCTGCAGCCCCCATGGGCCAGAGTCACCTCCCAAAGATAGCCAGAGAGAAAGAAGCACAGACCCTCGTCACAGGCAGTACAGTGTTTCTGGAAATTTGGGTCTCTGGTCTCCCACAAACATGAGCCACTCCAGTTCCACAAACCTGCTAATCCATATACGAGGCCGGTGATACTGAGGTGGGACTTTCCTACTCAAGGCAATGAGAGGACAGAGAACAGGGGTCCCTTATGGGCTGTGAGAGACCTTATTGAGACAAAGTTCCATGAGAACTGGGACAGTCGGACAGAAAAGTATTGCTCATGCAGCCCCTGCCTGACAGCCAGCCACCTCCAGACCCAGGCCAGGGACCCACACTCCAGCCAGCAGAAAGCCAGAGAGAGAACACTCCCACCAGATCCATGCTATGCTGTTGGGACACAATAAGACAGAAGAATAATTTTGTTGGACTTTTAAGAAATTGGTGACCCACAGCAAAACTGGTCCAAACAGCTGCTGGAATCCAGTGAGAACCGTAAGCTCACCCACATGTGAGGCTGGGTGAAGCTGTAGGCTGCTGGGACCTGTGGCTGTGCTCTTCGCTGTGACCATCCTTCTACAACAAATGACAGAAAAGACAGAGGAGAGCAATGGCTGTCCCTGGGAGGAAAGGACCCAACACATGAGTGCTGAAAACCACGTTCACAAGAGTTACCCAAAGAACGAGCCCTTCCAAAGGTGTTTTTCTACTAAATCATATTTGGATTATTTTGAGCTGAAGGTAATGGAGGATCCACAGATGCCTAAAGAGTTCTCTGTCCTCTCATTTTCTGCCTGAAATCAGATCATAAATGTCTCTTTGTGAAGGTGGCATAAAGTATCTCAAGCAGGTATCCCCCTCACCCCCACCAATGAGAGAGTGACTCTTATCACCAGAGTCAGCACCAAGATGAGTCTCCATAAACCAGCCTTTCTGCGATAGTCTTGTCTTCATCACCTTCCCGAAATTCTCCCCAGTCACTTCCCAGTGCCTTATCTTCCCTCAAGGTCAAACCCTCTTCTTTGTTAAAGTTACCAGCCCCTGAGTCTCACTGCTTCTTTGAATTCCACTTCTTTTCTGTGAATTCCTATGCACATAAAGACTAATAAAAAATGTATACCTTTTCTCTTACAATTTTTTTTCAGTGTAATTTGTGGGTCCCCATTAACTGAACCTAAGATGGTAGAGGAAACATTTTTCCTCACCACCAATACATCTCTCACTTAATCTTTAACCTATGAATAGGTACCAAGATTTCACTGATGAGGAAACTGAGGCACAGATAATGTAAAAATCCTGTCTGAGGTCTCACACAGCTAGTAACCGATGTAGTTGGGACATATTAAATAAAAGGTGATTAGTGTTTGGAAAACTCTGCCCCTACCGCAAAATCTCTCTTTCCCTCCCCCACAAAGAGGCTCCCTTATCTCTCACTTTACATACCGGCCCTAGCCCTCCCGCCGCCCAGCTTCCCGCCCAGCAGTTCAAACTGACCAACAGTTGCCCACCACCTCGGCTTTTGGCTTCCCCACCCCCCAGCCCTTCAGCCCCCTATAAAACAACCCTGCCCCTCTGAGCGGCGCGGCCATTTTTCCTTTTCGTCCCGGCTGGCCTGGCCGGAGGCTCTTTCCTCTCAATAAAGCCTGAACTTAAGGAATTTCCTCTAGCCTGCGGTCCGGTTTTTTCCAAACGAGCTCAGTCTTCCCGCAGAGGGTAGGTCGGACAATTAGCACATTCAGCCAAGTCAAGTTAAATTAAGATTTTTCCTAGCGTTCTGGGAAGATTTTGAAAATAAAGCCATGGCCTCCCATGTTCAAGCAACTTAACCTCAGGATCCTAGGAGAGTAGCTGGAACTACAGGCACGCGCCACCACGCCCAGCTAATTTTTGTAGTTTTAGTAGAGACGGCGGTTTCACAATGTTCACCAGGCTGGTCTTGAACTCCTGACTTCAGCTGATCTGCCTGCCTCTGCCTCCCAAAGTGTTGGGATTACAGGTGTGAGCCACCGTGCCCGGCCTATCATTGCATTATTTAAGCATCTTTTTATTTTGATAAAATGTAAATGTGTCAAACCCTGATGCATTCAATAACTCCGCCCCTGAATCCTGTTCCAATTAATAAAATAAATCCTCTTCTCAAAAACTTGATTAAACTCCGGATGAACTAGTTTTCTACTTTTCTTATCAGGCTTAAATTTTTACTGCATATCCCCACTTTAACCATGGCCCGAGTTGGTTTTTTTGGTTATGCACTTACAGTGCGTCACAATGCAGGGAATAACGGCATGTGCTCTGTCACAGCCTCTGCTGTCCTGCGCCCCTGCCGTCACGGATACAGCCGAGCCCCACGGTTAAGTTCCACCCAGAACAGGGACAAACGACCTCGCCAAGGGCACAGGACGAGCCCCAGCCCAAATCTTTTCGGAGGGCGCCGCCGGGATGGGGTCGGGGGGCCGTCTGCGGCGTCCCGCGCCGCGCAGTTAGCACAGACAGCAGGGGGCGCGCTGCCCTTGGCAAATGAAGCGCCCTAGGCCCGGCGCCCAGCGACCACCTGCGCGGCGTGGGGCGGGTACCGGGTTGAGGCGGCGCGGAGTCGTGGATTGCGGAGACAACCCCCAGCGATGGCTTGTCCCAGCGAGGCTGCTTCGGCCAGGGCCCGGTGAGGCTGTTCCCGTTGTGCTGTCATCTCGCAGTCCAGAGCTCCCTGACAGTGAGGAGAAAGCCCTGGCTCCCAGGGTGGGTCCACTTGGTCCCGTGAACGTGGCCGTCACCCCCGTCAGTGACCGGGTCAGAGAGCGCGGGTCGCCGGAGCGCAGTGGGGGCGCTCAGGGACTGCGCGGGGCACTGCGTCGTCCCCGACAGCGGCGCCAATCCGCGGCGCCCCAGCCCCTCTATCCAGCCCCAGCCCTGCCTGCTCCTGGCCGCGGGGACTCAGGATGGGCGGCTTGGGGTCGACCGGGGGCCTTGGAGACGTGAACGAGGTGATAGGGACGCTGGGGCCACCTGCCTCTAGCACCGCGGTGACCGAGTGCCCTCGTGATTTGAAGAAGAGGGAGACAGAGTCGGAGCCCAAAGCATCTAAAGACCGCGCTCGTGGATCGAAGCCACAGGGAGGAGATGATGAGGCGGCACTCGTGTCTAAAAGAGCCTTCCTTCTACGCTTGCGAGGACGCGCCTTGCAGCGGTCCACCCGGAAGCTGCAGTACAGAACCCAGTCCCCCTAATTCCTCTTCCTCAGGAGCCCTTACAGCGTCCACACAGCAGGCAGCTGGGGAGGGAGGAGCCAACTCATACCGCCACGTGTGGAGGCCGCCCAGTCTGGAAGCCTCATTCCAAGCAGGAACCAGTCTCTCCAGGAGTTACCACACCCAAGGAAGCCCATAGAATAGCTCCCTTCCATTACTTAGTGATGGCTCCTCCCAAATCAGCTTCCCCTGCCAGGCAGAAGCTGTTTCACCATAGGCACTATTGCCTAGTAGGCGGCTGGCACATTCCACCTTCCCCTTATGCCAGGAAGGCAGGTAGGAGGCCAACTGCATTCAGTTCAAATAATGCAAAAAGGGAAACATTGTTAAAATTTTGCACATGAATATTGATTTTATTAAAATCTAGAGATTTTTTTTTTTTTTTGAGATGGAGTTTCACTCTTGTGGCCCGGACCAGAGTGCAGTGGGGTGATCTTGGCTCACTGCAACCTCCACCTCCTGGGTCAAGCAATTCTCCTGCCTCAGCCTCCCAAGTAGCTGGGATTACAGGTGTGTGCCCCCACGTCAGGCTGGTCTCGAACTGCTGACCTCAGGTGACCACCTTGGCCTCCCAAAGTGCTGAAATTACAGGCGTGAGCCACCGTGCCTGGCCTAAAATCTGGAGATATCAAACCTAATTGTATCTATATTCCCTTCTTTTACAAACTGGAAAAAAGAAACCAAAAAAAAAAAGTTTACAGAACATGAAACCAGACATATTTCAATGGCAATACATGTTAAGGGCTTTAATTCAATTCCTGCTGTTGAAACCCAAAAACAAAAGCTTCGTGAAAGCTGCTGCTAACAAAATGGAGCCGCTTGTATCAAACTCCAGCAAAATGGATTGGGGCGAAGGCCATGAAGAAGCCCTCACACCCACATGCCTGAAACAGGACTTATCCCAAGACATTCCTGCAGGTAGACCAGCATCAGGATTTATTGCAAGGACTTCTCAAGGAAGCGGTATTCCAGATCCACCACCAGCATGCCACACTGACCTGGCAACAGCTGCCTCCACCGACACACAGAGCCAATTCCTGCAGTGAGCTCTGTCACCTAGGAGGCTTGTTTCAAAGCAGCTCGTGTGCACATCTATTTGTCTTTAAAAGATTCTTCTTTGGCTGGGTGCGGTGGCTTATGCCTGTAATCCCAGCATTTTGGGAGGCCATGGTGAGTAGATAGTTTGAGGTCAGGAGTTTGAAACCAGCCTGATCAACATGACAAAATCCATCTTTACTAAAAATACAAAAATTAGCCAGGCACGAGAATCACTTGAACCCAGGAGGCGGAGGTTGCAGTGAGCCGGGAGCACACCAACTGCACTCCAGCTTGGGTGACAGAGCAAGACTCCGTCTCAAAAAAAGAAAAATATTCTTCTTTGCCGTGACATCCCTGGTTGTACCCTGATCCATCATCATAGCACACATCCCGAACTGCAATCCCTTGCCTAGTCCAAAACGAGCCCATTTATTCTGGAGATCCCTATCTGAGCTTTTTAGGCTGATGCCTGTACACTTGCTACATGTGGTAACTCTCAGTTACTAATATCTCAGAAAAACTCTTCTCCAAGCCAAGGAGGCTAGCAGACTTGGCTCTCTATGCCCAGGCAGGCTTGCCACGTGGGAGAGGCTGGGAGCTACCACCCTGTCAAAGGCAGAGGCCTTGGGACAACATGGTGGCATTCCAGACTTACAGGTGGGGAACCAATAACTTCACAGTACGGAAACTTCCAGTGGGCAGCAGTTGCAGGCCATTCTGACCCTTTCTGAGATGGCTTTTGGGGAACGTGGTCCAGGTGGTGAATTCAGGTCTGAGGACTGAGGCCATTCTTGGGCAGGGGCAGGAGATGGAGGATCCCCAGCCATCTGGACCTAAGCAGTGGATATAAGGTGGCACACCATCCAACCTGAGCAACTCATGTCCCTGCACACTGGCTTCTTCCCTCAAGGTTGGCAGAGGATTCCCTGTCCAATGCCATAACTTTTCTAGTGTTGGATGTACTAGACATGCCTACACTCTACCACAAGCTAGTGGCTGGTGGGACCTGGAGGTCAGAAGGTTGGGCCACATGATTCCTAAGGGACACCCCCTTCTGATATTCCATTATTCAGTACAAGAAGCCCACAGGGAACTGCCAAAGCCCTTCAAATTATTTTCTGCATAGACATATCAGATCATTCTACTGAAGGGCAACCCTTGTGGCATGACTGACAACCATGACATTCTCACTGAATGAGCTACACCTGCCACCTGAGGGCTTCTTCTCTCACTTGACGATGGTTAGAACCGGCTCTCCAGTAGAAGGACTGACACAGTATCACAAGTATCCTCCCTGTGTTTCCAGCACAAAGTTTAGACTGCTCCGTGTGGTGCCCAAGGCCTTGAGTTGGCCCATGTGTTCTTTGATTTTTGGTGTTTGTTTTTTTTTTTTTGAGACAGATTTTTGCTCTTGTTGCCCATGCTGGAGTGCAGTGGCACGATCTCAACTCACCACAACCTCCGCCTCTTGGGTTCAAGTGATTCTCTTGCCTCAACCTCCAAGTAGCTGAGATCACAGGCATGTTTTGTATTTTTAGTAGAGACAGAGTTTCTCCATGTTGGTCAGGCTGGTCTCGAACTCCCAACCTCAGGTAATCTATCCACCTCGGCCTCTTGAGATTACAGGCATGAGTCACCTTGCCCAGCGGCCCATGTGTTTAAGCGTCACCTCCCCAAACCTCCAAGCAGCAAGATGCCTCCTGCAGCCATGCAGAACCAAATGTGTTTACCCCACTGCAGCCCTCGCCATTTCTCTCTGCCTCCACCTGAACGTCCTGTCCAGATCCTTTTCCCCTCCCCACTCACATCTCCAGTTGGCCTGTTCGGTGCTGTCATGTGGATGCTGCCAGCCTGCAGAGTCCAGGGGGTTCCTGGTGGGCAGGGCTCCTGTTTACCCATGTGTCTGCTAAGATGGAACACGTGACTAGTCACAAACTGAAACCTCTGCTCCAGGAGGCCCTCATGAGATGCCACACTCTAGGAAGCTGTGTGGCTACTTCTTGCTTAGGAACTTGGGTGCTGGAGTCACCCCTTAGGATCTTCCCATTTCCAGAGGCCAGCAGCATTGTTCCCCTCTTCCTCCAACTTCAGGTTCAGATTTAGGCCTCTGTCTAGTCCGGCTTAGTGATGTTGGCCCTGCCCCACAGGTTCCGCACTCCTGGCTTTGAAGCTGGACTTCCAGATTTTTGCAATAGTCCCTTCTTTTCATCCTCCAGGTCTTCATCTTCCATCTGTGTCACCTGTCTCACACTCACTGCTTTTTGGTTTTTTTTTCCTGAGACAGGGTCTCACTCTATCACTCAGGCTGGAGGGCAGTGATGCAATCTTGATTCAAGGCAACCCCCGCCTCCTGGGTTCAAGCCATTCTCCCTCCTCAGCCACCTAAGTGGCTGGGATTACAGGTGCACACCACCATGCCTGGCTATTTTTTTTTTCATTTTTCTTTTTGAGACAGTTTCCTTCTGTCACCCAGGCTGGAGTGCAGCGGTCTGATCTCAGCTGACTGCAACCTCCACCTCCTGGGTTCAAGTGATTCTCGGGCCTCAAGCCTCCCAACTAGCTGGAATTAGAGGCACGTGCCATCATATCCAGCTAATTTTTATATTTTTAGTAGAGATAGGGTTTCATCATGTCATCCAGGGTGGTCTCAAACTCCTGGCCTCAAGTGATCCACCTGCCTCAGCCTCCCAAAGTGCTGGGATAATAGGCGTGGGCCACCACAACTGGCCAAGCCTTTTTCAACTCTTAAACTTCAGAAAAGATATCTGGCCAACCAGTTAATATCCTCATTAGAATTATTCTTACATACGATTCTGCCTCCTAAAGAGAAACAAGTAAGGCCCAGTTTCTCCTCTTTAAACTGATCACAGATTGGTCAGTTATGGTGATTCAATCTCAACATTTTGGAAGGCTGAATTTCGAGAATCACTTGAGCCCAGGAGTTTGAGACCAGCCTGGGCAATACAGTGAGACCACATCTCTACCAAGAAATTTTTAAAAATTAGCCTGGCATGGTGGTGAGTGCCTGTGGTCCCAACTCAGGAGGCTGAGGCAGGAGGATCACTTAAGTTCTGAGGTCAAGGCTACAGTGAGCTGTGATCACACCACTGCACTCCAAGCTGGGAGACAGAGCAAGACACCAACTCAAACAAAAACAAAAAAACTGATCACAGAAACAACAGCTTTCAGAGGTTAGTTTACTTTTGTCTGTCCTGTGTCTTGGGTTCTGAGCATCACATCATAATCACTGGGGTCGCCTTCAGGGAGCTCATAGAGGCAGTAATCGGCACACAGTAGGCTTTGGGTTTCATTCGCACAGCTTCCTGAGAGCCATAGATCCACAGCAGTGGATGAGGGCCACGGTGTTGTTTGGGAAGCAGACGACACACTTATAGAGGAAACAGATACACAGAGTGCCATTATTTTGATTTATTGCATTCTGAAGTACCCCGGGTGGAAGGGCCTGAGAACAGTCTGCTTTATCAGCAGTCCTAAAGCCTTATTACCTGAGATTTATATTCTGAGGGGGAAAAGAATCAAGATTGGATTATCAATACATATTTCACAGGAGATTTGCGTTTTGACCCTGACAGAAGAACGCGTACTAACCTGAAAAAGGCTACATGAGATTAAAAAAAGAAACAGCTAAACACCAAAAATCCTGGTGAGAGAGACATGGATTTAAAAGGCCAGCCACTCACTGTAGCGTGACAGCTCCCTCTGGGGTAGCCAGGAGCAGAGCATGAGCCACTGGCATGGAGCATGGGCCACCAGGGCCACCTCCCCAGGAGCCCACAGCAGCCTAGGGAGGCCTTGGGAGCAGCTTTGCCTCCACTGCGGTCACTTCTCATCGTCCCGCCCATAGTTAATCGTCTGTAAGGCCTGAGCTATGAGCATCGCCATCTCCCGGGTGCTGGCAGCAACCACTCTGCAAGCCATGAGGTCGAGGGGTCCACCTGGGGACAGAGAGGGAGAGAGCCAGGCACCTGGGTTACCAGAGAGGGCTGAACAATATTGTATAACAACTTACCCACATGCATACAGCAAAGGAAATGGCACATGGAACTATGCCCAAGCCCCAACTCTGGTGGTCTAGGAGTGAATCCGACAAAGAATAGAGGGATGGAGCCTCTCTCCGCCCCACCCCAGTGTGAAGGCAGTCATGGCTGCACAGTACAGAGTGCAGCTCTGAAGCTGCCACTGCCTTACAAGTGGAGAACATAAAGTCCTAAGAAATGCAAGTGATGGGCTAGACCAGAACAGAGGAGCTACCCTTCTCAAGCTTGACTATGCAGAGGGGTCAGCCAGGGCTTGTGAAACAAAGGCTCTGCCTCAACAGGTCTGGGTGGGGCCAAAGCTGCCTGCCCACAGGTTCCTGGCAGTGCACTGCTGCTGTGGGGCCCACAGTCTAAGCACCTGGGGCAAGACAGTAAAGCCCTGAATCTTCCCGGGGGATATGAAACAGGTCTGACTGCATGGATAGAGACCCTTTTTCACATACATGAGCCTTCAGGTGCTCTAGTGGTAAAATTCAGAGTGATGGGACCTTTAAAATGTGGAATGGGGCTGGGTGCAGTGGCTCATGCCTGTAATCCCAGCACTGTGGGAGGCTAAGGTGCACGAATCATGAAGTCAGGAGTTTGAGACCAGTCTGGCTAACATGATGAAAGCCCTTCTCTACTAAAAATACAAAAAATTAGCTGGGCAGTTGTGGCATGTTCCTGTAATCCCAGCTACTCAGGTGGCAGAGGCAGAAGAATCTCTTGAACCTGGGAGGCAGAAGTTGCGGTGAGCCGAGATCACACCACTGCACTCCAGCCTGGGTGACAGAGCGAGACTCCATCTCAAAAACATGCATACATACATACATACATACATACACACACACATACATGTGGAATGGGCCTGCCTAGTCCTGCTGCTGATGGCTGATACCTCTTCATTTTTATACCCTATGGATAGCTAAGTCAATCCTTTCGAAAGGACAAACAGGAAACAAGTAGAAATCAAATTACCAAAGATCTGCCGTCCATGCCCAATAGATAAAAGTGAGCCACAGTGTTTCTGCAAAAAGCTGGGAGAGAATGGGATCTGATAGATTCACCTGGCTTATCTGCCTGAAGCTATGTGGATGCAGCAGGCAGCACAGAGTTAAGGGCTCACTTATGCTCCCAGGAGCTCAGTCACTGGGCCTCAAGCGACCCTGAAGCAGAAGGAACAGTCATCTTCCAGAATCATTCTGCAAAACCCTTCTGGACACTCATGCCTTGTGCTCATGCTGACCCAACACCAAGCTATGGGGCCTTGCAGAAGAAGCTAACCTCAGAAATTTGGGGACCGTGATACCTGCTCTGCCCACCTCACTGGATTCTTGTGGGAGGCCTTAGAAAACTTTCACTGGCCCAAACTCCATGGCTCAGGCCTGTAACCCCAACACTTTGGGAAGCCGAGGCAGGCAGATCACCTGAGGTCAGGAGTTCGAGACCAGCCTGGCCAACATGGTGAAGCCTCGACTTTACCAAAAATTAGCCAGGTGTGGTGGCACGCATCTGTAATCCCAGCTACTTAGGAGGCTGAGGCAGGACAACTGCTTGAACCGGGGAGGTGGACAGCTTTATTGAGCTGAGATCACACCACTGCACTCCAGCCTAGGCAACAGCAAGACTCTGTCTCAAAAAAAAAAACAAAAACGAAAAACCCAAAACTCTGGGGAAGGTGGGAAATTTAGTAAGTGGGGACCTCAGGAAGTGGCCCACCCACAGTGTCTCTCTGTCTAGTTTCTGCTGCTGCATCCCGAGGACAGGATAGCTCACCCGAAGTGTCTATCACGATGCCACCTGCTTCTCTGATGATGACTGTGGCAGCCGCCAGGTCCCAGCAGTGCAGGCCAAACTGGTAATAGGCATCCGCAGCCCCTGAGGCCAGGTGGCAGAGGGCCAATGTGGAGCTTCCGATCACTCGGACCCTGGGGGGAGAGAGGGAAGAACAGATGCAGGCGGGAGGAGAGCTTTTGCTATGGTTTGCAAGCTGACTTCAGCCATGTACCAGGGCTGAACATGTTCCCTAGTGAAAAATGAGGCATTGCTCTTCCACCAAAGCTCTGGAAGCAGAATGTAGGGCCTGGAACCGCCGACAAACAGGACTCTGCCAGACACAAATGTTCTGTGCCATGACAGCTCCCAGCCAACCTGGCTACTGAGCACCTGAGATGCAGCAACCAGAGAACTGAATCCTTCCTCTACTGAACATGACATTAAGTGTCAGTGGCCTCACACAGCTAGGGGTCACAGCACAGCCCTACTGGGAAGGCGAGCGACAAAGAGGATTCAGTGGGCTTTGATAAACCTGTCTGATGCCAGGTCCACTTGGGAAAGACTTTAAGTACTTGCACGATTCACTGGTTGAGCTGCATGAGGTCAGTTCCATGGATTCTGATGAGAAGGGAAACAGGTACCCACCAATCTTCAGAGGCCTGGCTATTTAGGAGCATCTACTGCCGGCAGGTACCTTAGGGGGCTTGCCTGAGCCTGGTGTTCATGTGCCCCTCCCACTTCTTCCACACCAGGCTTCCTCCTCAAATCCCGCAGGAGTTTTAGCAAGCCCACATTCCGTTCTTCCTCCTCTGGCTGCAGGGTGTTCCCCAAACTGAACATCGTACCCATGTGCCTTGGCGTGCAGCAGCCGCTCCATGTTACTCAGGAACAGCTTCAGGGTCGCAGGGTCACGCTTGGGGCCAATTTCTGTTAGAACCAAGGCCTTTGAGAGATCTGTAAAAATATATATATATATTTCCTGTCACCAGAAAAATCAAGTCTTAGTTCTAAGGAGTGCAGACTTCAAATGTGAGCCTTTCTTTCTCATAGTAAGAATCATCTTTCTAGTGGTTCATGCCAAATGCTTTTCTGATAGCTATGTTGAAAAGTAAGGATGGGCCCAGCACAGTAGATCATGCCTGTAATCCTAGCACTTTGGGAGGCTAAGGAAGGAGGATCACCTAAAGCCATGAGTTCCAGACCAGCCTGGGCAAGATGGTGAGACTCCATCTCTACCAAAAAAATTAAAAATAGCTAGGCATGGTGGCACACGCCTGTAGTTGCAGCTAATGAGGAGGCTGAGGTGGGAGGATTGCTTGAGCCCAGTAGTTCTAGGCTGCTGTGAGTCATGATTGCACCACTGCATTCCAACCTGGCAGGGACAGAGCATGGCCCTGTTTGTTAAATTAAAAAAAAAAGGGGGGGGGGACAAAAAATCACCATCGTTCAATCAAAAAGAAGAACAAAATGACTCCAAACTGGGAATACTCAATGTTCAGACAGGAAAAATACCTCATCAATCACCTAACTGCTGCGATCACTAAGATGGAACTATCATTTTCTTGGAGAAAACAACTTTTAAGTAATGCTGCTTTGGAAAGGGAGGCTGCAGGAATGAGCTCTCTGGATGCAGGGGGGCTTACGCCTGGAATTCATGGCCTGCCATTTATGTAACAGCAGATGAGGCTGCCAGGGCCGGCAAGGCTGACTCAGGGCGGGACGTGACTGGGATTCTGCTCCTATCCCTGACTGACTGCTGGGGATCCGAGCAGTTTGTGCTGGCAGTGCCACACACCCAAACACAGCTAAACCCTGGTCATGTCCCATCAGGCCTCAATGCTCAGGCAGGACGTAGCCAAACCAGGTGTGCTAAAGGACAAAAAAAAAGTCACTCTGCAAGTCGGGAGTAAACAGCTTCTATCACATTACTACACTATGAGCCCAGTTCTGTGTCACCACTTCCAAATCCTCCTCTCACTCAGGAAGTCTATCAGCCAGAATCCAAGTCCAAGTGCCCTTTTCTTCTATGGGAGCTCTCATTTTACACCTTAAAAATACTTTCTGCAAAACACCTGGCTCCATACCAAACCAACCTGCTCTCAGGAGGTCTAGATCGATCATTGCTAGCCACGCCCAGCACTGAAGCTGAGCTTGACGCACTCCTGGCCTGGGACTGGGCAACAGGCCCTCCACAGCTGCCACCCACAGCTTGGACAAGGGGCGGCTGCTCCAGGTGCTCCCTAATCCATGCAGGATCTGCAGACAGGCTCCAGCTAACCCCTCCATCCCTTATCCTCTCCAAACCCCGCCCTCACCTGGCCACAAACAGAGATGGTGTTTTTTCCAGAGGGTAGAAAAAAGGCTTCTATTGAAGAAAAAGACATCAGCAGGCCAAGGCTGAGTGGGTACTCATTAAACAGTTACTGAATGAATGAGTGTGTTCTTTCAAATGCCAGCACTCAAGAAGGTAGGATTAGAGTCTTTGTTTTGGTTTGGTTCATTAAATTACTAGGATTTTAGCTTATGGGAGAAATGTTGTCAGTAGAATTTTGTTGGCTAATCTAAGAATCTAGTATATACAATACTGATTTGGGGCAAATAATACTGAATTACAAATATTTTAGTTAAAAATGATCTTTTGGGCTGGCCAAACAAAAGGTGGCTCATACCTATAATCCCAGCACTTTGGGAGGCTGAGGCGGGTAGATCACCTGAAGTCAAGTGTTCAAGACCAGACTGACCAACATAGAGAAACCCCATCTCTACTAAAAATACAAAATTAGCCAGGCATGGTGGCGCACACCTGTAATCCTAGCTACTCGAGAGGCTGTGGCAGGAGAATCACTTGAACCTGGTTAACAGAGGATGCAGTGAGGCAAGATCACACCATTGCACTCCAGCCTGGATGACAGAGGGAGACTTTGTCTCAAAACAACAACAATA